GTGAATGATAATGTCCATAAGAGATATTTGCACTAATTTGAAAAGCAATCTGGAATAGTGGGAACATGAACGAGGATTGGTACCCAAGGTTTGTACATTAAAGACAAAACTTTTAGGAAAATACCAATGTCATTATGGAGAAAGAATTAGTTGATCATAAAGATGTGAGTGTTGGAAGTTAAAAATGAAGAAACATAATGTGGTAAGAAAAAAAAGAGTCTAGAGGGCTTTTTTTACCACATTTAGGGGTGCATGACATTGATTTTCATTTAGGATATGAAATTGACTTTAATTGATGCTTGCATTTAAGATATGACATTGAATTTCATTAATATGTGCATTCAAGACATTCATTTCATGTAAAAAGGATAGAAATATCAACTCTCAATTGAGAAAAAAGGAAAAAATTCTAAAAGAATAATTGAGATGACAAGAACTTCCTAAGATGTGATTTTTGACATTGATTGAGAATTTTTCATGATAAAGTTTTTAACCCTTGGTAGAAGAAAATTTTGTTGAAACATTGAACGCTCAAAGTAGGAAAAATTGTTAAGATATGTTAAATATTAGTCAAGGAAAATTATTTTTTTTTAAATAGCTTTTTAGGATAAGATTTTTAAAGTCGTCGAGCTTTTGTTTAAAGGAGATTTTAAATTTATTTTCAAAAGCTGTCGAGTTTTTGTTTAAAAAAGCTTTTAACTTTATTTTCAAAAGTTGTTGAGCCTTTGTTTCAAAGAGCTTTTAAATTTATTTTCAAAGGTTGTCGAGTCTTTGTTTAAAAGAGATTTAAATTTATTTTCAAAAGTTATCAAGTTTTTGTTTAAAAGAGCTTTTAAATTTATTTTAAAAAGTTATGGAGTCTCTGATAAGAGGAGCTTTTAAATTCATTTTAGATTTATAAAACTTATAATAAGAGAAGTTTGCTAAAAAAATAAAAATGAATAAACAAAAAAATGAAAAAATAAAAAAAAAAGAAAAAAGAGAAAAAAATCTCTGAATCATCATCCAGGTAAGGTTTTTTTTTTTAAAGAAAGTTTATGCTTTTCTGAAACCTAGGTAAAAAAGGGAGCTTAAACCAAAAAACAATAATGGTTTCTTGGCAAGTTTAGGTTTTGTCTTGATTTTCTTATCCATGAGAGTTCCAAGCTCAGTATTTTAGTTTTTATGCCTTGTTTCTATAGAAATGAACTATTTTTTTATTCAACAAAAATATAAAAGCCTTCTATCAAGAAGAAAAGGGAAATAAAAGAGGTTTAGGAGTTCAAAAACTAGTTTTAAAGGAAAGGTTTCGAGTTTATTTTAGTCCATTGCATATGGAGACTTAAAGCTCCCTTTTTGATCTTTATCTATTTGATGTGTGATGAAAGAAAGTTCCTTTTTTTCCTTTGAAATCGAGAACTACTTGAAAACATAGAAAAAAAAGTTGGTGAAATTTTCAAAGGCTCGAAAAATCTACTTCTAAACCAGGCTTTGTTATTTACCATCCTCAAGATTCATTCTTTGCATTTACATTTCTTGGGTTTAGGGCTAAAAGGAGGTTTTTTTTCAAACAAACGGAGGTCCTTTCAAAAAGGAGAAGGGATAAGCTGTACTCATTTTCCAACCTAGGTGGAACCAACTAAACAAGTTCTACTTTCTTTAAAGTAGCAATGGTTTAAGGATTCCAAAAGCTTTTCCATCTTTTTTTTCCCTTCATTTTTCTTTAGCTTTTTTTCTTTCATTTATCTACTTTTTAGTTCATTTTAGATTCAATTTAGAAAGCAAACACAATAGTTTTAGGGTGAGATGATACTAATAATTGAGCTGCTTTATTCTGTAATGGCAATCATGGTTTTTCGCATTCTATCAAGCTTGTGTCTTTTGTATCTTCTTTGAAGTTTTCTTTAGCTATCCCATTTTACATTTGTGTACTTATAGCTTTCATACATTTTAGAGAGTAAATACAATTGAATAGATGAAGAAAAATTATATATTTCTAGGCTGTGCAAAAAAAGAAAAGAAAAGAAAAGAAAATGATATTGGAAATCCTACCTAAATATTAAAAGGAATTCAAATCATATTTTGAAAGATTAAATTTTTTGTAATTTCACCTAGATATTGGAGAATTAAAAAAAATTTCCTTCACAAAAAATTAAAAAAACAGAATTTATTTATCATTGATTTTCTTTAAAAAAAAAGGATCATGATAAGAAGCAAGTTTAAATGCATATAAGATAGGTCAAGTTGGTTAATTATTTGTATTTACATCATTTACTTATTTATTGTTATATTATAACTTGAAATAATAATACGAATTGTTGATTTATAAATTTTGAAAATTAGTTTCTTTTTATAAATAATTATTAATATTCCTACGTAAAAACAATCATTGAGACCCAACCTAGATATTGGAGCGTTTTCAATTATTACTTTATACGGAGGAATATTACACCAAATTTTAAGGAATATCGTGAGAATTCTAAGCAGAAAAATAGTTTTCATTTCAAAATTTTGCATAGATATTAGAGAATTAAAAAATGTTTCAATACTAAAGATTTTCATCTTATTCCTAAATAAAATGACTAAATTTTAAATATGTGTTAGATAAATTTAATTGATTGTTTGCATTTAAGTTACATTCGTGTTATACATTTTCTCCAAATGATATTTGCTCGCATTTCATTAATTAAAAAAAATTAACAAATGGTAAGTTTTTGAAGAGTTGTTTAAAAATAAAAAACTAATATATATAAATAAAAATAATTATTTGGAATGTTTTTTAATAATTATTTTTTCTAAAGGAATATTATGTAAAATTTTTAAGAAATTATTATAAAATTTTCAAATAGATAAATATTCTTTAAAATTATGCATAGATATTAAAAAGTTTAGAAAATATTTCAAAACTAAAAATTTTCATCTTATTGTTAGATAAAATATTTAAAAAAAGAATTTCACAAAAAAATAAAATTTGAAAGAATTATTTTTAAATATTAGAATTAAGATCATTTTATCAATATTAAGGATAATAAATGATTAATTGGTATCATTCTTAAAATGGGTATTGTGGGGTATTAATATTTTTCCACGCGTAACCATACTTCAAAACTTAACTTTATTTTTCATAGATCAAAATATTTTTTTAATAAATTTTAAACTCATTTTGTTGTTTTATTTTAAAAAATAAATTTTTAGGTGATTGATCACAAATTCAAAAGGGATTGATGTTGACTTATTCTTATTTTGAAATTTTAAAAATTTTTATTTAATGGTTCCCAAAATTATTATGACAATCAGTAAAATCTTGAAACAATTTAACTTTTGATGAAATTTTAAGTTTTTTTTTTTTTTTTGCTTGCTACAAGTGAATATGTGGCGATTTGCAGCCAAATATGGAAGATAAAAGTAAAATACATGTTATGACTCCAACATCTTGTCATATTTCCATCAATACTTTGTCTTGAAATTTAATATAGTATAAAATCGCACACACATACACACACACACATATATATACATACATACCTGCCTTTTAAAGGGTCAAAAATATTATCAAAGTTTGCATAAATCACTTTTTGATTTAGGCAAATGATATTTAGACAGAAACTATAGAATGAGCCCAAAGGGCTACCAGGAGTAAACTACAATAGTTAGGATTCTTTGGACTTTATTTTGGGCATGCATAAGAAAGACAATTTGACCCGTATTTGATGGGTTTTGATTAGACCTGATCTCTTAGAGTCAATTTTTTTTTTAAAAAAATTGAGTATCGGGTTGGGTGATATAAGAGAAAAATCGAAGTCAGGTTTTAGGCAAATCTAACCCAACCCAACCCTACCCAACACAATATATATAAAAATATTTTTAATTAATTAATTAATTATATATATATTTAATTTTATATTTATATTAAAAAATAATGTTTTATATTTAAAAAATAATATTTTATTAATTTTGAGTAAGGTCGGATCGAATACAATTTTAGATAATGTTAGGTTGGATCGAGTTCAGGTATGAAAAAATTTTTAAAAAAAAGACAGATTAGATAAAATTTAAGTATTATATGTAAATAGTCAGGTCGAGTGCGGGACGAGTAAAAATCTACCACAATCTGATCCGTTGCCATCCATGAACACACATTACTTCAAAAAAAATTTTAATCCAATAAAGGCTCAAGCCCTCACTTGACCTATATAGAGCCGTTTCTTGCATGATATTATGAGATAGATTTAACTTTTTAATTATTTGACAAATATAAGTATAAAAAGTAAATAGGATTTTTATTCAATAATAATTAATAATTCTTAGTTTAAAAGAATTAGAAATTTTCTATGCTAATATGTCACATGATTAAACAAATTTAGGTTGACAACCCATATTACTAGGTATCAACAAAAAAAGTTATATGAAATAAATAATAAATTTTCAACAATGTTATTAATTGTTTTTAATTTAGTAAAATTAAAAAAATTAAATTCCTTAAATTTAAAATAAATGACTAAAATCATTTAATTAAACTAAAATAATTAAAAAAATTAAATTTTAATATAAAAATTAATATGAAATGGATCTTTATTGAAAACAGAAGAATCTTCGACTCTATTAAAGTTAAGATCATATAATAATAGTTAAGAGTCAACATAAGTCTATTCGAATCAAATTGATTTTAAAATTGGTAGAACTTGATCAAGATGATTTGATTAGTTCAATTTTAAAAATTATTAGTTAAATAAATTGATTTAATTTGATTAATTTTTACCTTTTAAAATTAATAATCGATTAAATTAATATTAATATAACATAAATATAAAAATATTTTTAATTATATTTTTAAAAATGATAAATATTACATTAATGAAAATTTTCAAAATTTAAAAAAATTATATAAATTTTATTAGATAAAAATTATTGCAAAATTATTATTTAAAATTGATGAAAAACAATGATGGACAAAATCGGATATTCGATCCAACCGACCAATCATATCAGATTGGGACCCATAGATTAGAAATATTTATTTAAGCATATCAGAGTCAGCACAAAGAAAATCGCGCGATTTCCTTGCGAATCTATACGGATGTGGGCCGCCCAACTTTGGAGTTGGGATTTTTTTTTTTTTCAAATCGATTTTCTTTTTCTCTCTATCTCTGTCGCGCGTCTCCAATTACCTCGTTCTTGGTTGTTACCGTATAAATATAAGGCCTAAAATAAAAGATCCTCTGTTGCTAAAACAATTCATGGAAGACATTTCAGGGGTATTTTCCTGGGAGCTTCAACACCTCTCGAAGCGCTCCAGCGAAACCTGCTCTGATGATGATGAAGATGTAAGCATTATTTATATCTATTTTCTTTAGTTTTAACCCACAGATTAAATTGTATTGCTCTATTTGTCTGCAGATTCTGGTGTCTTTTTCTTGTACAACGTCTCAAATTATTTTGCAGCTACTCCTTTTTTTCGTTATAGATGGATCTGTAAAATTAATAATCTTCGTGTTTGTAGACGACCCAGATTATGATTTCCAAGATATCCCAGGGCTTGTGGCTGTGGGTGAATTTTTACAGAGATTGAAGCTATATTTAAATTTGATTCGGTAGATAGTCAAAATTGAGTTAAAATTTCTTTGATTTCAGGATCGGAGATCAACTTCCCATGCGCTACTACAAGAATGGGATTCAGTATCTTTACTGTACCCACAAAGCAATAATCAACCCGCAATAACCAGTGGGGTAGTCCCAAACCATACAAATGGAAGCACATCCCAAGCATGTCAACCTCCAAACATTCCAAATGCTGCTCTTTTGAAAAGAAACTTTTCAAGTTTATCTGAACCAGAACGAGTTCAAAGAAAAAAGAAAAGTGATCAGTTATATCGGGATAAATGTAAGGTGAATATACCATCTCTTATCATCTCATTTCTCTTCATTCTTTCTCTTGCAAGAATTTGGGTCCAGGGAAATATGCCTTGGGGGAAAAGGCTTTGAATTTCATTCATTTTTCATTCTGTTTTTTGTTTTTGATACTGAAAATAGAATATGAACCGGACTAAATTTGAACTTATTACTAATTTAGTTACAGTTCATCATGTAAGAAATTTAAAAATGCAAATAGATAGGTCTAAGGAGTCAGTCTGCGATTCAAAGTGTTATTTTCAAAGTAAAAAGTAATTACTAATTTAATTGAATCATACCATAAATATTCTAGTTGATTTCGTTCAGTTTTGGTTTTTTCGTTTAAAAGCCGAATCTTTCATGACTTATCTCTCATTTTACTCTGTTCTCTTTTGCTTTTCCTTCCAGAGTAGGTCAAGAGATAAGCATTAGAGTTTTGAGGTGTGAGTGAGAGATTACAAAGGAAGTTTTAAGGGCAGAATCTCAATATACATAAGGATTATGCTCCTCTTTTTCTTATTGAGGATGGGGAGTAGGGATGGGTAGTTTGAGTCATGAATGATATGTCTTTTTGCTTCCTTCCTTTCCACACAGAAACACAAAGAGGAAATGCAATTGAATTTGGAGACACTTACTGGAGAAAATGAATATTTAAAGAAAGAGAATGAACTATTTAAAAAGGATAATACTTTGATGCATCAAACATTGAGAGATCAAGCAAAAGAGATTGATCGATCGAGGAATGATCTTTTCCAGTTGAAGAGCGAATATGAAAAGCAAAATGTTCTTGTGCAAACGCTTTCAGGGCTTCTAGTAAGTCTCCATTTCTCTATACTCTTGAATATATTTAAAATTTCTCTTCATTTTAATTGAAGATGATAATTGTTACAATCCAATTGGTTATAATAATGAAAAAAAGATATTGCCTTTTGAAGTACTCATCTTAAGGTACTAGCTATGTTTGCTTTGAGTCTTCATTTTTATTGAAGTACGTCTTTTCGATGCATATCTAACGGACATAGGCATGGAGGTCTGACCCTCCAAATATATAGAGAAACTTAAGAGTTGATCGTACCATTGAGCTGTGTCAAAGATATACCCCATATCCATCACACACCCCTGAGTCCGACTAACATGGGGTACTAGTGATTATTAGAATGGTTTAACTTTAAATTTGAGTATATCTGTTTATGATAGTTATTATATTAGAAGTAATTAATCACTTAGTTTAATTTGTTATGTATGCTCTAAACTAGTTAAGTTAGTATAAATAATCAAGTTTTTAGACCTATTTGTTATGAGAGGAAGAAATGGAAATATAGAAAGCCGAAGGTTTTAACGAAACAATTTAACACTAAAACACTGATTAGCATGAGGAATCTTAGTAATTATAAATTAACGTAACCTTATTTATGGCCATGGAAGATCTTTGCCATTCAACCTACAAAAGGAAATTTCAAAAGACAAGAAATTGGGTTATGGCTAGAGTATTCCTCTCTGTCCCATTCTATATGGTCGCAACTATAGGTCAAGACACCTCTTTTAGACTATATTTGGAGTCTTAGGTATTCAGAGGAAAGAAGAGACCTAGCACTGCATTATTACAATTTTGGATGTTCAACCTAAGAGCGTATCATTATTATTTAGGTTGCACATCATTTGAACACCGTACTCACATTGTTAGTTATCTATTTTTTTTTTTTTAATTTGTTCCAATTAGCTAACATGCTAATCATTCTAATAGTTTTGATTTGGGTTAATGTTACGAATAGCTCTTGAATTATAGTGAAATGTTTAATATGGTATATAATTTCTAAATATTTCTAATCCGGTACATGAACTATGAATTTGTTAGGTGTTAACTAATATGTTACTCACCTCTAACGTGATTAGCTCCAAATAACCCTCTAAGTACCACATTAGAGATTTTAAAGGTTAGGTATCATATTAAACATTTCATTATAGTTCAGGGGTCATTTGTTACATTAACCCTTTGGATTTTTAGTTTTAGTTTTTACTTAATCATATTTTTAACAGAAACTTCACGAATTTCACCAAGGGCTTGACCTTAGTAAAAAATTCTTGAGAGGTGTCAGGTTCATTCTTTTAGGTTTTGAAAAATTCTTTCTAGAAGCTAAATATTGTCCTTCAAATGATTTAGTAGATTCATGAATGTTAATGTCTTATTTTTATAAATTCAATGGTATTGAAAAAATTGCTAATACGATATTATTAAATTTATAAAAAGGGCATTAGCAATGATAAATTTACAAAAGGACCAATCGGGAGTACAAGGCTGTGTGCCCAGGGCCTTAACTACCACCATGCTGTAAGGACTTGGTGTTTGCCTAGGCTTGTGGTTTGGTAGGGGGCCCTATGGCCTGTGGCATCAAAGGTACTCTAGCTTGCACGCCATGCCTCCTCCCACTCTCACTAAACCCCCAAAGGTTTGAGAAATCTCACTGCATTGGTCCATAAAATTTCCTCATTTATCTTCAGATTTAATTTTTTTCTCTTTTAACCGTTAAATCTACAATGCAAGGACAAATGTATCCTTGACTCATCCCTTTGACAGCTTGTTTATTCACCTTTTTTTTTTTTTTGGGTTTTACATTTTTTTATTATTGATTCAGTTTTTGGTTTAGTATTTTCAATTTATTTTTTTTATTTATTTAATGTATAAAGTATAATTATATTGTATGCTGGATAAATAAATAAATAAGTAAATAGCTAAAGTTTGAGATTAATACATAAATAACTATAAACTATATGTATAAAATTATATAGATAAATACTGAAGAAAATAAAGTTTCCCTTTGTGCCTTTTAGTATCATTTAATATTTTTTGAGTGATTTATTTATTCAATGAGATAAATAACTATATAAATAATTAAGCAAATAAATATTACTTTGTTAAGTTTCAATATGTCTAAATATATTTTTATTAGTTTGTAAATAATTATTATATAATATCAAAATAACTTTTATTAACTTTGTAAATGTCAAATATATAATAAAATTACGTAATATACAAACTTTAATCTAATGTCTTCTATGATTATTTTCTTTTCTCACCACACACCATTGCACTTCTTTCCAAACGAACACCATTTTGTCACTAGTTTCATTTTCATTGTTCTTACCACATCATTGTTTTCTATCTCATTGGTATATGCTAAATCTTTCAATGCAAGAATTAATTGCTAATAAATTATTCAAAAAAAGTAATTATTTGCTATATTAGTTAATTGTCATTTTTATTTTAGGCGTATCAGTATTCTACTTTATAAAGATAAAGCCTAATTAAGTCTACGTCAGATTAATAATTTTCAATTACTGGTCAAATTTGCAAAATAATCAAATAAAGATAAACTTAGAGGTGTCAAATGGGTTGGGCAGCCCATGATACGGCACAATTCGGACTGGTATAGACTTGTGCTTGGTACAATCCATTGCTATAATTATGGGTAGTGCCCGGCATGACTTATATTCTTGTGCCGTGCTGGACTAGAGATTTTGAGCCCATTGGGCTGGCATAACACGACACAACAAGTGCTAGTGCCAGAACGTGGCACATGGGTTGGCACGGTACAGCAACCAAGCACTAATGTACCGTGTTGTGCTGGCTCATAAATGTTATAAATGAGTTTAATCTATTAGTCTTTAGTTATATTTTATATTACTCTTATCATATAATGGACGTTCTTTTGCCCTTTTAATACTTTATGTAGCAGTTTATAGAAATTAAATTATATCAATAAATCTATTTATAAAATATTTAAACTATTAGTGGATAAAATTATAATTTTTCATTTTGATTTATTATTTTCTAAAAAAAAGGACTATGAAATGTAGATTACTTAAAGATTGATTATGAAAAAACTAAAAATAAGACAAAACACATGATATAAATGGATCATCATATAGTGAAAATGAAAAATAAAATAATAATGTGATATCCCTTTTTTAAAAAATTTAGATATGTAGTATTAGGATTTGTTAATTTTCATATATTATTTTGATGGATTTTTTTAACTTTTATTGGTAAACATACATATTTTGTTGAACTATATGAATAATGTACCTAATGTATTAACAACATTAATTTTTAAATATAGTTGAAAAAAAAATTTCCTAGAAAAAATGATAAAAATTTAAGATACTATTAATAGGTCCTGCTTGGCTCGATAAGACATGACGAATAATGCCATGCTAGGCACAGCACGATCCATAAGGGTTGTAGGTCATGTGCCATGCTAAGCCCTACTTAGTTTTCATGAGCTGTGCTAGCACGGCGCGTTAAATAATGGTATTGGCCCGGTACAACTTATTAACACAGGGACTAATTCTTTTATGGACCATGTTGGCACAGCATGACCCATTTGACGCCTCTAAAGGACATTATACCAAGTTTGTTTATACTGATGACTTGGTTCATTTTTCAATTTTGCATTTGTCCTCAACAATTTTCCTACATTTTCTTTTATCTCTTTTGATTTGATTATTTTTATACACGTGCAGGTTTTATGTTAAAAATCATATTATTATCAACTCCAAACATTCATAATAGTTTATTATTGATTTCATATGGGCTATGTTAATATACTTTGGTTTAAATGATTATAAGCTTTGTTAGTAAATGCTCATTTTCAAAGCACAAAATTCGTTGCTCTCATGCATGTTAGAGCTAAAATATGATGGTATAAATTTTTAACTTGGTAGTTTTCATTGTAGGCTGATCCAGTACAGCTCGAAAATGAGAAGCTAAAGGATGAAAATGCTTCATTGAGGAAGTATGCCAATCTTAACGGCTACTTACCACTGCTTGCTGAGGAGAATGCAAATTTAAAAATTGAAAATAAGGTTCTCAAGGTGCAAAATGATGCTTTATGTGGGAAGATTATCAGTGAAAATGACAAGAAGTGTGAACAAAATACAATTTGAAGATATGCCCACGGTAACCATGCATTAAGTATTCTTTCTTTCTCAATTGAAAATATTTGCTATATTTTATTTCCTAGCACAGCTTTGGATTGCTTGGTACGTTCTTTTTGCTCTGGTCTTGGTGCAGTACATGGCTTCTTTTGGCATATCTTCAAATAGCAATTTAGGGTCTTGTTCCGATTTACAATTTGATCTCTCTTCTTTTCTATACTTTTGAGTTAGCTCTTCGACCACTAATCTTTCTTGATCTCTTCTCTCCTTGTTTTCACACTCTCGGCGTCAACCCTATCTTGATTTTTACCGTCTCCCCTTAATCAATTACCTACAATGAGAAATGAGAAAAACAAAAGAAACTGATTGTCTGGTATTCTTTCCACTGGGTGAGTAGGCTCCATTGTGTTATCCGAGGAGTTATCTTCTTTGCTGCTGCTGGTGTTGCTGCTTCTGCCTTGTTGCTAATGAAACGTGCTTGATCCAAATTCCTCTTCCATTTCTCTTCTTTGAATTTGATTTGGTGTTTTATGTACCGCCTCCACCGTTTGTTATATGTATTACACATCATAGGTGGTGGTGGAATTTTACAAATTTTAGTGGACATAAAAGTTGATGTATCGTCTTTTCTTTACGTTTTAGTAGTCGCATAAAGATTAAGTCCTCTTTCATAAAAGCTGTGGCTATCGGATGGCTGGCTGACTGGCCTTTATCAATGTATAAAAATCTTTTTTTTTTTAATTAAAATTTAACATCTTGTCTTGTTCCTTACGCTTGCCTGCTTTGCTCAATGGAGTTGAAGGTTTGGAAGGCAAGTCTCTAATTCAGGCTACAGCAAAAAAATAAAGAAAAAAATGCAGCCTCCTACACTTGGCGTAACATTTTATCATGTAAGGAGTTTGTGAAGAAAGGATGTTCCCAGCTAATTTGTTATGGTCAAAAGGCTTACCTTTGGTATGATAGACAGGTTGGCGTGGGAATATTTTACCTGTAATTATTTTTATTGTAATCGTACAAACTTTGGCTGGTCATACATGACAGATTGCTTACAGTGCAGTAATATTTTAAAAGGATTTAAAGTGCTGCTATTTATCCACGGTGTGATGCAAGGTTAGAAGATGCTTTCCATGTGTCTAGGGATTGCTATACATCTCAAGCTATTTGGCCTCGGTGGTTGCACCGATTACGTGTGGACCATTTCAATGTTTTGTCTCCTAAGGATTGGGTGCAATTTATAATTAAGAGGAGGTTTGGTTTGCTAGAAGTAAAGATTTTTTTGTCAGAATTTTATTTTTCATAATTTGATTTTTTAGTTAGATTAAGATTTTTGATAATGTCAAAAATTAGTCAAAAATTAGGAAAGTAGGAAGAAATAAAAAAAAAATCTTATTTACATGAGGATTTTTTACATTTCAAAAGGAAAGTAAAGTTTGTCTAATTTATTCTCATTTAATTGTATTTTCAGATCATATTATCTTTTTTAATCTCCTTAAATTACTAAGCAAACGTGATTTTTGTTATTTATAATTTTAACAAGTATTGTTTTTTAAATAAAAACATAGTAGTGTTGAAATTATATATTAAAAATTCTAGAACTTTAATACAAATCGCATTTTTAAGATAAAAAACTTAATGGATGTTAACAATTTATTTTCAAAATTTTGAAATTTTAACGAGGATTACATTTTAAGATAAGAAACTTAATGGATATTTGTATATATCTAATTTTGTGTAAGCATGTTTTAGCCAATTGTGATGTTTTTAAAGTCGGGTTTAGTACATGTTCAACACTTTTTTTAAATTGATGAATTTTTAAAATTTGAATTTTGGATTGAATTAACCTGAATGCCCTTATGGCAAACTAGGTCAAATGCAATCTAATAAGGTTAAATTTGGATAAAAATTGGTCAAATTTGGTTAAACTCAGGTCAACTTTTGAAATTTACGATTGAATAGGATTATTGGGCTTGGGATTAATAAAATTATAATTTTAATGTACTAAAAATCTTGATTGTATCTCGAAAAGTATAAAATTACTAAAAATATTCTTTAGATATATTTTCATAATTTTTCCTTCTCGAGGTTGGTTTTTTGTGTGAAAAACTTCATATTATGTTTTGATATTTTTTCATGATTTTTGATATATTAAAAATCATGATCACACCTTGGAAAGTTTGAAATAATCAAAATGCTTTTTAAGGTTATTTTTGTAATTTGATTTTTTCAAGATTGATTTTTCATAAAAAAACTCTAGATCATGATTAGATATTTTTATGAATTTCGATGCATTAAATCAAAGAATAAAATAGTGGATCATAAACTTTTAAGAATATCATACAAAAAGGGCTAAATAAACTAATAGAGCAAAATAGTCTTTTCTCATATAGACAATTGCACTAAAAATTAAATTTTGTGCTGTATTCATTCTAACCCATGATCTTTCAAGGGTTTAAATCCTAGGGTTAAAATTGATTGCTTGATTGTTAGGCTTGAATGGAAATAAAAGGATTATTATGGCCTTTGATTGGAATTTGATTAAATGGCTAGGAAATGAAAGCTTGGCCTTTAAATTCATCATTAAAGGCCGGAAAACAATGAGGAAGTAGCCAAGAAAATGGCGTGAAAAGGTAGAAAATAAAAAGGAAAAAAGAAAATATTGAATGGAGCTTAAAGGTATAATTTCTCTTTATTTTTATGCATATTTTTCTTTAACTTTTATGATTTTTCAAGAGGAAACAACTCTTCCTGTAGTTGTTCTCTTCCATGTTTCCATCTTTGATTAAATAAATTCAACCAACCAAGTTAATGGTATGGTTTCAAGTAAAGAGAATAAAAAAAAAGATATCCCATGTGGCCCCATACTATAGCCAAACCTTTTCTTGGCTTTTTTTTGTTTTTTTATGTAATTTGCTTGCTTGGATTGAAGTATTATGGTGTAATTGTGGTTTTGGAGATTGTTACTCTCATGTTAGTCTACAATTTTGATTTATTATGTTGGTTTTTGGCAAATATAGATGTTTCTAATATTTTCATTCTTGGTAGTTTCTTACATGTTTGATAAAAACCCTTTGATAATAATAGGCCTTTACAAGTCAATTTTTCAAGTGTTTGATTTATGTCTTAGCTAAAAGAAATAATAGAATGATTATGGGAAAGCCATTGGAAGCTATCGACCTAGCTTTCTCTATTGTTTGGCTGAGACTTCCACTTTAATTTCATGGCTAGATGGTTGACATTTCATGAACTCATACTCTTGTTTCTACTTAGAACTTCATGTTTTCTATGTGTTTGATAGAATTTTCAAAGGATGAATTTGTTGAATGAGTGGATTTTTAATAGAATTTAACTTTGTTTTCCAAGTGTTTGTTTTGAATGTTAATGGGGATTCATAGTCATACATGTTTGGCCAACACAAGAAATGCTCTATTTTGGTCATGTAGGTTTCAATTTAACCTCATCCATGGCTTGGTCGAACCTTGGTTCTTCTCTTGCCCCTTAGTATTTGGTTTCCTTTTTATTAAGTTTTTGCATGCATGGTTAGTTCATGAAGTGTTTGTGAAATTGCCTTAAGTTTTGGATTTCCTATTTAGTTTTATTTCATGTATCAAATGTTTTACATTTTGCATTGATACCATGTTTATTTATTTTGTCACATGCATCACTTAAACTAAATCCTAAAACCCTAAACCAAATCCTAAACCTTAAACCAAACTTAAAAACTCTAAATCAAACCTTCAACCCAAAACTAATCCCTAAAATCCAAAACCAAACCCCAAACCTTAAACCAAATCGAACTAAAACCCCAAACCCTAAGCCAAACCTCAAAACCTTAAACCAAACCCCAAAACCCTAAACCAAACCCCAAAACCCTATACCAAATCTAAAAACCCTAATACAAACTCAAAATTTTAAACCAAACCATAAACCTTAAACCAAATCCCAAATTCAAACCAAATCCTAAAACAAATCCCAAACCCTAAACCAAATCCTAAACCTTAAACTAAACCTCAAACCAAACCCTAAAATTGAGCTAAATCCCGAACTAAACCCAAACTCTAAACCAAACCCCAAACACCCAAATCAAACCTTAAACCTAAATCAAACTCTTAAACCAAACCTTAAATCTCTAAACCAAACCTTAAATCTTTAAGCCAAACCCTAAACTAAATCACAAACCCAAATTGAATCCCAAACTCTAAACCTTAACTTAAGTCCCAAACCCTAAACTAAACCTTAAACTCTAAAAGCCAACCCTAAACCCATTCTCATACATTAACATTTCATTTTAATAAACTATCATATGCATTCACATCGTTGAATTGTCATTACATTCATGCATTTCTATTTGTCATTCTCTCTTTGATTGTCATGGTTGTTTTTATATCATGATGTTCATATATATCATTTAGATGCTTTTTGTGAGTGAAATATTTTAAGAAAATGTTTTCAAGAAAAATATGAATAAAATGACGTAATATTTGAAGTAAAAAAAAAAAAACTCTTAAGAAATGGTCGAAATATAAAGGGACTCTTAATAGTTATCATTTATGAGAAACATCATCTCGGTTTTGTGGGACATCATGAAAACTCCTAAAGTATAGAGATGTTTCTGAAATTTTGCCTAAATATAAGAGAATGGAAGAGATGGTTCGATCTTGGGATTTTTCATTTTGATCCAAAATGATTAGTTTTGCTTTTAAGAATTAAAAAAAATAAAAGTGATTTGTTTTCAAAACATAAAGTTTAAAATGATTAGATTTTAAGAAATAATTTTGGAAAGAATAAAATTTGAGGAATTAATTTACAAACATTAAAGTTAGGACCATTTTTGCAAAAACTCAAGGATAACATGCAATCAATTGGTATCATTTTTTTAATGGGTGTTATGGGGGTGCTAATCCTTCGTCTCATATAATCGAACTCTTGAACTCAACTATATTTTCAAAAATCATAATATCTTTTTAATAAATTTTAAACTCATTTTGTTGTTTTTTCTTAAAAGATAACTTAAAAAAGATTAGTGACAACTTCTTTGGTCTTAATGAGATTTTTAAAATGATTTTTTTTCATGTTCTGCAGTTGGTTTTCCAAACCCGCACGTTGTAATAATGTTACAACTCATAATAAAATTAAAATAAAACATAACATATCTTTATTTAATATTATCGCATATAAAATCTAAAATATATTTACTTAATATTATTACTTATAAAATTTCTTTGGGGGTTTTACCCTTGGAAACCATTGGGAAAAGGATTTACCACCTTTTGTCAATCGTCATGTTGACCTTACCATGTATTTTTTTGCATATGGACAATCGATGTTAGGATATCAATTATGATTGTAAGATTACCTTTATTGAAAATATGAAAAAAATTATTTTTCAAGATATTTAGTTTCAACAAAGATAACTAGTCATTCAAGTGTCATGTGTTATTCACATGTCAATGTTATAAAATGTCACGTGTTAGTCATGTGTTATCAAAGATAATACAATAAAATACTTTGTTAAGTAATCTTATCTTCGTCTGAACCAAACATGAAAATTTTACATTCCCTAACTCAATAGTCCAAGAATCACTCATTCTCTTTCAATATTACATTCTCTCTCGAAATCTAAAAAATTTGCGAACTAAAATTCCTCTTAATAGGTATTGTGTTATTGTGGAGGGAAATGTTCCATGGTTTTTACTTTTTGGCCATGTTTCACATGGGGAGCATATCATTTACAATTATTGTAGTACAATCAATCAATCATAATTTGGATGTGTGGAGTCCATCA